ATAAGCTATGCCCGAAAGCACTAAGAATTCATCTAAAAAGTATGATCCTTTACCCATGTTGACATACATGATTTATGAGGAATGTGAGTTGTCTAAACTCCTCCCTATATCGGTGCTCAATACTACTTCCAATAATATATATACTCATGCTCAAATATATAAAACATACTCTTTCCCTAGTTTGAGATAATTGCTGAAACTACCACTTAAAAGAGGTAACTGCTCTGAGATATCTTTGAACTCATAAACTCTTTTTAGAAATCAAAGTTTCACTTTTCTCAATAAAAAAATTATACATTTGGGAATACTTAGTTCCCTTATACTTAACTCAAAATTGCATCTTTAAACTTTTTCCTCAAAACTCAGTTTAAAAATATGATTGGCTTTCAAAGACCCTCAAGACTTATAACTCAAAATAGGGTTCATGCTGAAATATAGACATGAACGAATCAACTCAAGGATCTCAATAACAATATATAAAGCTCAATACTCTGAACTCAAGAATTTAGAACTCAGATCTCAACGATACTACTCTTCTCAAGATACTCAATAACCATATAGAAACTCATGAATACAACACTTCTCATTCTCATATTTACTTTCTTAAGACTTAGTTAAAAATCATTGTTGATTACAAAAGAATTCTTGAAATAACTCAAAGAGACCTCTAGAACTTTCCTCTTGAACATACTTTAATTTGAAATGTAAATTAAGACACGTAATTAGGACTTGTAGGATCTCTCAAGGATTAATGAAGACTCTAAGAGTTAAAATCAAGATGAGAATGTAGGTACGATTCGTAGGAACATACCCAGAAAAAAGGACAAAAGAGAAAAGGACTTAGTGACCCTGGCGCACTAAGTGGCGTAGGGCACCAGCCCCAAAACTATTGGGCAGTGTTTGGGGCGCCGCACCAGGCCCCAAACTACTGACCAGTAGTCCTGGCACAGTGGTGTCGCGCCACCCTAAACCCGTGCTAATTTTTGGGTCCTAACTCATCTAGAATCGGTTGGTTTCTTCCAAACCCTCTTTGATTCAAAAACCCAATGCAACTTCATTGAAATTCCACACAAATCTATCAAGAAACATCACTCATTCTCAAGACCCTCTCCTCAAGAACTCAAAACCTCCATTGTTAAAGAATGAAGCTAAAACTCAAGAACTACTCAAGAATCTCTACACAAATGATTTCAAGAACGAATTCATGAAAACATTACATGTTTGGCGTGTGGATGAACAGATCCATCACTATGAGAAACCTCATATACCTAGAAAGAACGGTTGTTCTTGGAGAATTTTCTCAACCCTTGAATGAACACTTGACAACCCTCTTCTTCTCTTCTTGAAACATCGCTCTAAAAACCCTAAGGGGTCGTTTGGTTGAATATGAGTTATGATGGGATAAGTTATGTTGGGATAAGTTATGTTGGGATTAGTTATGATGGGATAAGTTGTCCTGGGATTATTTCTTATTGAGTGTTTGGTTTGTTATATTCAAAATAATATATATTGATAAATTTTAAGAACAAGTTGTTTGTTTACAAAATTACCCTTCACTTTATTTAAACTTTTTAAATATTTCTTTGTGAGCTTTAGTTATTCATTTTTTAAAATAAAACTTTTATTTTATTTAACTTAAATATTTTTGTTTATGTATTCCCATGATAAGTACCATGTGTATTTAAAAATATAACTTTTTTCTTATTTAGCTTAAAAATAGAACTTCCCTCTTAAGTTTATTAAAGAGAAGAAAATTTATGAGAAATCAAAATAAAATAAACATAAGAATTAGTCAAATAAATTCATAAATAAAAATTATATTTATATAGTATAATTTTTTAATAGAAAAATATTTATAATTATCATAAAAATAAGGAGTAGTAAATATTATTATACATGGTATTAAAAAAAGTGTAAATATACATAAATGTAAAAAATGATGTATAAAAAGGATTTAAAGGGACATATTTGTCATTTACCTATTTTATCTCGGGATAAGTTATCCCGGGATTACTATACCACCCATGGGGAGGGATAACTTATCCCGGTACTAATTATTAATCCCGGGATAAGTTATCCCGGACTTGCCAACCAAACAACATAATTTTTTTTTTATCCCATCACTATTTCCTTATCCCATCACTATTATTTCTAATCCCTCACACCAAACGAGCCCTAAGTGTTTTGAATGTGGATGGGTATTTTAGAATATGATTAAACCCTCAATTGGGTCAGGAAAAACGTGTTAAGACAGGTAAGGAAAAGAAAAAGACTAAAATATCCTTTTCTAAAACGAATAAATGTCTTAAATGGAGAGACTTCACTCAAACAACCATAACTTTTTATCCGGAGCTCAAAATTTAGTAAACTAGGCGGCGTTGGAAAGAGAACTCAAAGACTTTCGATTTAATAGCTCATGGGCCACCTAATTCTTTATGTGCTAAAATATATGGTCAACTGAAATTGACCCAAGAAAAATCTTATAGTGAAACTCAATTGGAAAGAAAGTTTTCAACTCAACTTTATGCTAGGAAATTCTAGTGAACTTAACACCTAAGAATTGAAAACTTTCTTTTCAATTGAGTTTCACTATGAGATTTTTCTTGGGTCAACTTCAATCAACCATATCTTTTATAACATAAATAATTAGGTCACCCATGAGCTATTAAATCGAAGAAATTTGACTCCTCTTTATAACGCCGCCTAGTTTGCCAAATTTTGAGCTCCGAGTAAAAAGTTATGGTTGTTTGAGTGAGGCCTCTCCATTTAAGACATTCCATTCGTTTTAGGAAAGGATATTTTAGCCTTTTCCCTTTTCCCACTTGACTTAACACGTTTTTTTTTACCCAAATAAGGGTTTCATCATATTCTAAAACACCCATCCATGTTCGAAACACTTAGGGTTTATAGAGCGATGTTTCAAGAAGAGGAGAAGAGGGGAAGAGGGTTCTCAAGCATTCATTCAAAGGTTGAGAAAATTTTCCAAGAACAACCGTTCTTTCCAGGTATGTGACGTTTCCCATAGTGATAGATCTGTTCATCCTCACGACAAACATGTAATTCTCTCATGAATTCCATCCTTGAAATTGTTTGTGTAGAGATTCTTGAGTAGTTCTTGAGTTTTAGCTTCATTCTTTAAAAATAGAGGTTTTGAGTTATTGAGATGAGGGTCTTGCGAATGAGTGATGTTTCTTGATAGATTTTGTGTGGAATTTCAATGAATTTGTGTTGGGTTTGTGAATCAAAGAGGTTTTAGAAAGAACCAATCGATTCTGGTTGAGTTAGGACCTGAAAATTAGAAGGAAATTTGTCAGATTTCTGGGCACGGGTGTGGGGCGGCGTGCCAGGACTACTGGTCAGTAGTTTGGGCCTGGCGTGGCGCGCCAGCAGTGTGCCCCAAACACTGCCCAATAGTTTTGGGGCTTGAGCCATGTGCCACTCAGTAAGCCATGGTCGCCTTCCATCCATCTTTCTGGGTAAGTTCCGTCGAATCGTACCTACGTTCTCATCTTGATTTTTAACTCTTAAAGTATTCATTAATGCTTGAGAGATCCTACGTGTACCAATCAATGTCTTAATTTACATTTCAAATTAAAGTAAGTTCAAGAGGAAAGTTTCAGAGGTCTTTTTGAGTCATTTTGAGAATTCTTTTGTAAACAACAACGATTTTTAACTAAGTCTTGAGAAAGTAAATATGAGAATGAGAAGAGTTGTATTCATAAGTTTCTATATGGTTATTGTGATCCTTGAGTTGAGTTATTCATGTCTATAATTCCACATGAACCCTATGAATTGAGTATCCTTGAGATGAGTAGTATCGTTGAGTTCTTGAGTTAAGGTGAGTACTCTTCCAGTCTTATCAGTTTAGTTATCTGTGTTTTCAGTTCTCCTTGTATACTCGTACATTCAATGTACTGATGTCATTCGACCTACATCCTTTTATGATACAGATACAGGTGTTCAGGATTATCAACAGACACTTCATTGAGATCACTCTACACTCTAGTTAGCTTTTTGTGAGTCTCCTTGTATTCTGGAGGACTTCACATTTATTTTCAGTTTAGTAGTTTTGAGATGTTGTGGGTCTTGTCCCAATATCCCTCTTTAATAGTAGAGACTTCATAAATAGTTATAGTTGATGAGTCTTTCGGTATTTACTTTCTTTCGAGTTGTTTTACAAAATATAAGTATTTCTATTGAGTATTTTCCAGGCCTTATTAGTTGAGTAATTGAGTTTAACGAATTTAATTTAGTTTTAAACTTATGTATGCTTGAGTTAGTCTTGCACTTGTAGTCAACCAGGATGAGTGTTCGCTTGGGGACCTGCAATGGTTCTCGAGTGCCGGCCACATCCAGGATATATGCTCGGACTGTGACATCTATTTTGAAGGGAGAAGGTTTGGGGAGAACTCTAATCTAGTAGAATAAGTCTTAGCATTCAGAATGGGATTAGAGTATTGTATTAAACAACACTATCTACCATTGACAATGGAGAAAGATTCTTTAGCTATAAACATACTATATGGAGGGTGGGATACTCCATGGTGCATTACAGTAGAAATCACAAGGATTAAATGTTTACTAGTGGATTCAAACACAGTTGTAGAACACACCTCTAGGGAAGGCAGCAAACTGGCAGATTTTTTTGCTAACCAAGTTTTCTATTTTGCAGGTACAGATCTTCTAACATATTCATGAATACAGGAAATACCAAGAGAAGCTAGAAGCATATTACAGTTGGATAAGAACCAGAACCCAAACCTTAGAATTAAAAAATACCAGGATGGTAATTTCAATAATAGGGGGAAGGGAGCACAACAAGGAACAAGCAACAATTAGCAATAGCAACAACTACATATATAGGAAGGAATCCGTTTCAGCCCTTTGAAATTGCAGGAAATCCAATGGATCTCCAACTGAAAACCAATCAATATGGCAATGGCGCAAGTTTCACACACAAGTCTATTTATGAAATGCAGAGTAAAGTGTACTTCACTTACTCGATGAGATTGTAAATGGATCAATGGCTTCTTCAGGCTTAGACAGTGGTATTAGCTCCAAGCTGAGCTCAATCTGTCAAGAAAGAGAAGAAATGGTGAAGATTACAACCTAATCGACTAAGGGGTTTTTGGATAGAGAGGAGTTTGTCTCACCACGATTATGAAAGATAGGATTGGTAGTGCTAGGAGTTGAAGAAGTCTTGATTGAGTTTATGACATTTGTGAGACGTTTAACTGCCCTTTAAAACCAATCAGAACTCATCGGCACCTACATATTCATCTCTTGTTGCCCGCAGGGAATCGGCTCCCGTGGTTAGTCTTCAGCTGACCTCCATGGTTGCTCGAGCTTAAAGATGAAGAATTGATGAACTCTCTAGGGATGGCGGCTGGACATTCCCCTTTCCCCCCTTAGCTTTGTTATAGTTTCCATTTAAGTGTTTTTTATTTTGTGTTTGCACTTGGGCCAATTTTGGGGCTTTTCCGGATTTTAATAAATGGTTGAATAGACAAACCTTTAATTAAAAAAAAAAAATCAATCCATTGAGAGAAATTTTTAATCCTTCTTTTTGCTGCCACATTTAAAAAAAACACTAACACTAACTCATGATAAATTTCATGTAAGGGATATATTGACATTTGGCCATGGACGAAATTACCCACACATATCTACGTACCTATTGTAAATTAACCAATATAGAAAGGATATCGAAAACATGTCTGAATACAAGAAAAATTAAACAGTACTTTATCGATCTTAGAAAAAATGATTGAGAATGTCTTCAAAATTGCCTCTTATTTGCGTAGTTATTCTGGTTTTCATCATTGCCAGTTCTGGTTAATCTCCCAATTCCTAATGTTATTGCTTCTCCTCTTCTTCAAGCTTCCAGTAATTTAATTACACACTTTTGAGTTAAAAATTATCATTGTGACCTAAATAAATATTCCCTATTACTCATATTATATGGATTGAATAAAAAAGGTCATGTCTCTATGTTCACTATTATGATTATCTAATAAATGGTGTCACTGGATAATTATTAACTACTTCTTTTAATTTCATTATTAGTACCTAAAACAAGGATCATATGTCATTCAACTTTCCTACTTTTACTAGAATTATTATGTCAAAAGCATATAAGAAACTGCTCCATACATCACCTACAAAACAATTAATTATACTAAAGTCGTTCTCATAAATCCTTGTTTTTAAAGATTGACATTATATTTTCCTAATATTGATAGTACTATCGGAATAATGTATTACTGACTAATTTAGAAAATTGAGATCTCGCTATTGATAAGTATATTATTTCTCATATTTCATTATTTTAAGTTGGATGCTACGTCTTGAATGCTAAAAGTGCAAGCTAAGTTATTTTCAAGATGAATTTAGCAGCAAATATAATTGTCACAAACGATTATTTTGTTAAAAGTTAAAACCTATGACTTCTTACAACAATATAATTAGCTATACAGTCAATAAAAATGGATGTTAAAAAAGCAAATTAAGACAACTTCAAATGAATTTAGCAGTCACTTTTATTGCCGAAAAGATATTAGCCATTGAAGCACAAAACTTTTGGCAATAATTTAATTTGATATTCTAAAAGATATTAGCCATAGATGCTAAAAAGGTAAACTAAGCCATTTTGAAAATGAACTTATCAGCCATTTTAATGGTCACTAAATAATAAGAATTTTACGCAAATCCCATAGCGTTAAGAGCTAAATACATTTTATCCCTACTATTACAAAAATTCCTTAAATTTGGTCATGAAATCCGGATACATCCCCAAACGTTTCGATACACTGCATCCGCGTTCCGGATACATCGCTCATTCCTAATACATCGCTTCTCAATTTTGGATACATCACTCAACGTCCTGATACATCATGTACGTCCTGATACATTGCGTAAAGTGATGCATCCGATCGATTCATCGCGTAAAGTGTTGTATCCGATCAATACATTACGTAAAGTGATGTACTCGAGAATAGGAGAGTAAGGATTTCTGTAAAAAAAAATCAAATGATAGAGAATTTTAGAGAATATAATCAAACACGTTGTGTACTTAGATAAGTTTTCCTTAAATATAAGGGATTGGCGTTAATTATAACCTGTAACGTTTAAAGCAATAAAGACTATCTTTACTGATGCTTTTCTAAATGTATGCTAAATACTTTAGCGATCTAATATATATAAAAGAAAAATTTAATGACTAGTAAACATTTTACCATCTCTTATTATTACCACAAAAAAGCCCTTTATGGTTGTAGTGTTGATCACCCATACAACATTGTCTCTATACCACAATTCAACAAATATACACATCAGTTTTAATCTAATTTTATTTTTTTAAATGATCTCCAATATGTTATGCTTCCGATATTATTAAGTGATTCACACAATATTTTACTATGTATTTATATTTTCATAAACATAAAAATTTTCCAAATCTTTTAGAGGCAATTGACATTTACTTGGTTTGTTTTGAATATGTCTCAAGATATTGCAGAAATAAAACAGTTAGCTATTTTTAGGATTTTTAAATTATGTTATTAGAGTTCTATTTGACTTATATTTAGGAGTTAGTTCTTTTTATTTGCTATTTGAATTAAGCTGATAAGTTAGTATCTTATTTTTCTATTTTTAGTTAGGAATTATATCTATAAATGCAAGTCTCTGAATTATTAATAAAATAATTCTCTTTGATAATATTGCAGTATTTTTTCTCTCAAAGTCTTTCTCTGTTATTTTCTTTATTTCTTTATTAAAAAACCAACAATTGGCATCTAGAGCCTTCTTATTGAGGGACCTGTGAGTAGAAAAATGGATTCTGAAAATATTTTTCACGAATGGCTCCTCCTATTTTTGATGGTGAGAATCATCAACTATGGGATGTGAGAATGGAAACTTACTTGGAGGCTCTTGATCTTTGGGAAGCCGTGGAAGAGGATTATGAAATTAATCCGCTGCCAAATAATTTCACCGTGGCCCAGATCAAGAGTCACAAGGAAAAGAAACCATTAAGTCGAAGGCAAAAACAACTTTGTTTGCTGCTGTTTCGACAACTGTTTTCACGAAAATCATGACTCTCACATCACCAAAAAATATTTGAAATTATCTGAAGAAAGAATATGCTGGAGATGAAAGAATACGAGGAATGAAGGTATTAAATTTAATGAGGTAATTCGAATTGCAGAGAATGAAAGAGTCAGAAACAGTCAAGGAATATTCTGACAGATTGCTTGGTATTGTCAACAAGGTAAGATTACTAGGCACTGAATTTAAAGATACAAGAATTGTTGAAAAAGTTCTTGTTACAGTGCCCGAAAGATATGAAGCATGTATAACTACCTTGGAAAACACACAAGATTTGTCCAAAATTACCTTGGCAGAATTGTTAAATTATTTGCAGGCTCAAGAACAAATGAGACTTATGAGGCAATATGGCATGGTTGAAGGAGCTTTAGTAACCAGCAACAAAACTCAAAGCAAGGGTAAATTTTTGAAAAATTACCCACCTTGTCAGCATTGTGGAAAAAATGGACATCCTTCATATAAATTTTGGAAAAGACCAGATGCACAGTGCAAGAACTGCAAACAACTTGGTCATGAAGCTGTGATTTGCAAAAACAAATTTCAAAAAGATGAAATAGTTGCCCAAGTCACTACTGAAGAAGAAGAACACCACTTATTTGTGGCAACTTATTTTTCAACCAAAAAATCTGATTTTTGGATGATTGATAGTGGTTGTACAAACCACATGACATTATGAAAGAAATCTTTTTAAAGAGTTCATTCCTATGGAAAATAAGAAAGTCAGAATTGGGAATGGTGATTGTATTCCTGCAAAAGGAAATGGTATGTTTCAATTAAAACAAATTCAGGTACAAAAATAATTTCAGATGTTCTTTATGTGCCTGACATTGATAAAAGTTTGTTTAGTGTTGGTCAGTTAAATAGAAAAAAGGATTTTAAAATTATTATTTGAAGACAAATATTGTCGAATTCTTTGATTCTACTAAGCAAGAGATTTTAACAAGTTGAAATGAGAGGTAAGAGCTTCTCATTTAATCCAACAGAAGATGCACACAAGCCTTGCAAGACAAAGGATGAATTAGCAGATATGTTCACAAGGTCAATTTCAGATGAGACTACAATCTACAATTCCTGATCCAAGAAGGAGTGTTGAGATTATGTCTCAGGATATTGCAGAAATAAAATAGTTAGCTATTTTTAGGATATTTAAATTATGCTATTAGAGTCCTATTTGACTTATATTTAGGAGTTAGTTCTTTTTATTGTTATTTGAATTAAGCTGATTAGTTAGTATCTTATTTTTCTATTGTTAGTTAGGAAGTATATCTATAAATGAAAGTCTCTGAATTATTAATAAAATAATTCTTTTGATAATACTGCAGTATTTTTTTCTTTCAAAGTCTTTCTCTGTTATTTTCTTTATTTCTTTATTAAAAAACCATCGTTGATAGACACTAGTTCCCTTTCTTTTGATTTGCTAATTCTAAAATAGTCTTTAGCGGTTCCAAAGGACTAATCTCTTTTAAAATAAATGAAAAATTTGTTCTGCATAATTTTTATGTATATGAGTGTAAATACACGACGTGAGGAAAAAAAGACCTTACTAGTAATAATTTTGAAAGTTTAGTTTGACAAGGCTATACTAGGGGTTACGTACGAAGACCATAAATAGATTGATGTAAAAGTAATTATACGAATTTGGATAAGTAAATACATATAGTAAATAATTTTATCTTAAGGTGTTAGGATCTCGTTTCATTCAATTATTAAGTCATTAAATCAGATACATTATTATTTTTCATAATATTAATAAATGATAAATACTTTGTAAAATTAACTCGTGCACCCACTTTTTTTTGTTCTTTTTGATAAAGTAAAAGACAATAATAACGTAACACTCATTATAGCGAGGTAAACATTTTGTAAAATTATCTGATGTGAGGTCAAAAATATATATTTTTAATTATTATTTGCCTTATATTTATTATTTATATTTGTCCTTTTTGAGCATTAATTTTGTGAATTGTGCTAAATAGTGTATTTTATTTATAGGAGTAAATTGGTGTAAAGTTAAAAAAGTTTGAAGCTAAAACGAATTAAAGATGAAAGATTATAGAAGAAAATAAAGCAGACAACTTAATGGAATAAATTCAATATATAATAATGTATACAGAAAAAGGTGCAGCAAATAGCGAAATTGAAACAATCTTACTACCACGTGTTAGATTCTGAAGTTTGAGGCGGCGGAAGTTAAACGCACAAGGACCCAATTTCACGCGTACTGGAATTCGACTTCCGCTTGATTTTGGTTTTCATTTTGTTTTGGACTCAATTATTTTATTTAAGGTTTTCTACATCTATAAATAGTCAATAGAAA